ATTGGCTCCTAGCCTTCCAATTCATCAGAAGCCAATCTAAATCTTCTAGCGTGGTGGGGTCCACTCTAATCCAAGACATGTGCTAGCAGCCTGCTGATCCTGCCTCCTGTCCTCTTTTCCCATGCTTGTTCCTTCCACCCTGTTGCAGAGTTCTTTATTTGCTCCAGCTGCTGGTTAAAACGTCCTACATATTTGAGGTGGAGAGAGCTGCACAATTGTCTCATCTCAAAGGTGGATGCTGAACCAGTGATGCCCCTGTCCAGCTTTCACCTTCATATCCAACTCCAGATGTGCTTCTGTGGTTCCTCAACCACCTAACACCCAAGGGAGCCGGAAAGGAACCTGAGGCACAAAGTGGGACAGGGAGAGAGACCCTACCAAAATACAGAATGACAATGGGTCAAGCATTCTTTGAAGCTCTGAATTAATGCCCCGCACCAGTTAGTCACAGCACAGAATAACTGTATTTGATGGATCTGGCTCACAGTCTGTATAGTCTGGGATTGTGTTGCCGGGATAGAGTCAGAAACCTCCAAGAATCTGACCAACAGAGTATAATAGTGCTTAGTCAATCCCTGCTATTTCACCCCCACCACCATAAGTACAGCCTGGATGCTGGAACAAGCCAAAGCTCCATATAGTCCAGTATCCTGTTCTCCCAGTGGCCATCCAGATGCCCCATTATGGGAAGTCTGCAATCTTGCTCATGTCTCCCAGGGTCTAGCATTATTATTATATATACATCCCCAACAGTGGAAGCTGAACATGGCCGTTGTGGCTAGTAGCTATTAATAGCGTTATCCTCCACGGATCTGTCTAAACCTCTTTTAAATTCGCCCAAGTTGGAGGCCATCACTACTACTTGTGGGTGTAAATCCCATAGTTTAACTATGTGCAGTGTGAAAAAGCACTTCCTTTTGTCTGCTTTCAATCTCCCAATGTTCAGCTTCGTTGGATGACTGAAGAATACAAGAAGAATTGGGTATGCAAAAGGTATATATACTACTGGACATTGAGGTTTAGTTTAGCATTCATGGTTAATAGCCTTTCCTAAATGTAGCCTTCACGGTTCCAACTAGCAGGATGTTACTTGTTTCAGAGATCTTCCCCCAAGGCAGGGACTCCTCTGGCATTCACTAAATGCCTCTTCTGTCCCTGTCCCTAGGCCAGAATTAAAGTGCCATATAAGAGTGAATGTGTACCACAGGCATTCAGAACTGCTTCTTTTGGATTTCCCAGATGGGAATTTGAGATGAGGAGAAGGAAAGATTTGACGTCTCTGCTAAAGTTTCTCCTCCAATAGCTGGCAAGAGAGAGAAGACTGTTAACAGCTGAATAATCCATGCGTGAATTTAGAATACATTACAAGAGGGAATGCGTATGGCGCCCCCTCCCTCTCCTTGCAAGAACCAAGGGTGATGAATTTGTTTAATTATGTATCTTGGCAGAGAGCTGATCTGGCTGGCGCAGGCATTCTGCAAAGCGCTTAATGGACTTCTGATGCAAACGTCAGACTTCACCAGCCAAAGCAAAAAAGAGAAGCACGGTGCTTTGACTTTGCTGGGGAGAGATTGTGGTTAATATGGGACTTCTTAATGGAACTTCATCTTGACAGGGCAGCAGAGGCTTGGGCTGAGGTGGGGTGATCAGAGCTCTGTACAATGCACATGTGCACTGGGGTTTTTTTAAAAGCAGACGGTGTGCTTGTGCATATGATTCTAGCAAAATTCTTACTGTGAGAAAGAACTGAGATGCAGTCAGACAATCACATCCAATTTGGCTTTTTTGCACTGCTTCATCAGTGCATGTGTATACCTTGATAACATAGAAGACCAGAGAGAGAAAGAGAAAGAGAGATGAGTGGGATATTGCGGCAAACTGCACATGTTTCAGGCCCAAAATTAATTTTAGACTCTCCAAGCGGTGAGATGCATTTCAGAATAAAAATAGGGGGGGGGGGACAGAACCATGGGGTTAGGAAAGTGGATAGATTTGTAGTGCTTTGGTTGTCTCCTCTTGAACCTCATCTGTAAAACATGATAATAACTCCAAGGCGCATTAATAAGGGCTGACAAAGGCCAATAAAAGCAAGAGCAATCTTACCGCAAAGAGACTCTGTCCTGGTTGGCTGATGTGCAGTGAAAGATGTTATCACCTGTGAAAACTTTGCCTCCATCAGAGCTTTCCAAGGTGACATGTTAAGCCCTGGACCAAAGGATAGAGTTTGCAATTGACCATTCCCTAAGCCTTCATTCCAGTCTTGGGTCATAAAAATGTATGTATTGCTATGGTGGGTTAGACCAGCAGTCTATCTTAGGTTGATACCGTGTTCCCCAGTAGTGGTCCCCTGAGTGCCACAAGCAAGGAATGATGGCTTCTCTCCCAATCACCTCCCTTGCTTGATAGATCCCAGCATTTGGTAATGTATGATTTTGGAGAGACATGTGATGTGCCTCACCAAGGGGCAGACTGCTAAGGTGACTTGCTGCACATCTCGCAAAATGGTCACTTGCTTATCAACTATCTCCATTCTGGAGACAGCATGGAGCAAAGGAACAAAAAAAGATTCCAAATACAATCGTACCTTGGTTTTCAAACAGCTTAGTTCTTGAACATTTTGACTCCCGAACGCCACAAACCCAGAAGTGACTGTTGCAGTTTGCGAACTAGTTTTGGAGGCTGAACGTCTGATGGGGCTTCTTCAGTTTCCAATTGTTTGCAGGAGCTTCCTGCAGCCAATCAGAAGCCGCGCTTTGGTTTCTGAACATTTTGGAAGTCAATTGGAATTCTGGAATGGATTCCGTTCGACTTCCAAGATACTGTATAGTTTCCTTTGCAGATTAGGAGCCAATCTGCATGAACAGATTCAGACCCATTGAAGTTAATGGATATGACTAACTTAGGTTCATTAATTTCAGTGTGTCTACCCTGAGCAGAACTTAGTTGATTATAATCCTTCACTTGGATCATTATGTTAGTATGGATTGCATATGTTAGCATCACTTACTATTCAGATGCATATTTAACTGATAGTTTAATTAAATAATTCAGAGGGCTAGTTCTGTGCCAGTTTGTTCAACACTTCTGTTACATGTTTGTCTAGGGGCTTTTGGTGTTTGTATACTACACACAACTCTTAAAAGCTTACCCCTCCCTGGTCAGTTACAAGTTTTGGGGTTATGATTACTAAAAATTATGCCTCATGCATGGTGCTTTTGCATGCTTAGGCCTGGTTTCCCAGGATTAGGGTGTTTCGGGAAAACGAAAGTATTCTTATTTTCCCAAGGAGGGGTTCGATTGCATTGTAGGTAATTCCATCTTTGGCAAGAGGAAATCCCACTTCCTGAGGGGTTAACAGGATTTACCTGCTGAGAAATTTGACCAGGTCAACCTTCAGTTTACCCTTTTTTATTATTTTTTTCTTCTGGTCAATTTCTGCCCTGTTGCAACATAGCAAAGTTAAGAGAAAAGCCGTCTGGCATTAAAACTATTACCAATACATAGGTGGTCTCCACACTTTCCTAGTCCAGTGTTCAGAAACTTAAAGGTGGGTTGCTGTGTTACAATCTCCTGTTGTTATTTAGTATTTTGCCCCACTGGTTTGAAAACTACCAAGCTGCATACATAATGAAACAGCAATCAAGGAGAAAACATTAGTAAATGCAAAGCAGCAAGAAATTAAAAGGCACCACTAAACTACCAATTTTGAAAAGAATAATGTAATAATCATTTAAAGCAGCAGACCCTAATGTCATCACATGTCAAAAGCAGTGGTGGAGGAAGGGGTGTGTGGTAGGTGCCAGCCGCCCCAGGTGTTATCACGGGGTGGGGGGGTGACAAAATGACAAAAAAATGCATTTAATTAAAAAATTGAGCTCACGAAACTTTTTCATTCAGTCAACAAATGCAACAAAACATGGCTGGCACAACTTACCACAGGGCCTGCAGCATGCCCGAGCCACGGGTCTCTCCTGGGAGTGACATGGTGGCTTAAGCGCCTGCAGGCTTGGTGCTGCCTGAAATGACAGCGTGGAGCTTGCATCTGTCCACCACCTCTTCCTCAGCCGTCCTACAGCTGAGGGGGAGGCTGCAGAGAGGCTCCACGCAGTATGCCCCGCCCCCATGAGCAGCTCGCCCCACCCCCCAGCTGTGAGACGCATGCTGCACCGGGCACCCGAGCAACTAGCTATGCCACTGGTCAAAAGGCAACTAGCTGAAATAAGATTGCAGATAATTTGCAGATTGACGACTATATGCCCAGGATAGGCTATTTCTAGAAAGTGTTTGGTTGCATTATATGTCAAGAACAGCAGTGAGGAACCTGTGGTCCTCCAGATGATGCTGAACTACAACTCCCATGTTCCTTGTCCATTGGCCTTGCTCGCTCCCCACACCTGGTCAAGAGAAAACCTTATATTGAGAACCAAAGTCCAGCTAAACTCCTATAATTCACTCCACTTGTGAGGCATGATAGGAGTAAGTTGCCAGCTTCCAACATTGTATTTGAAAATGGAGGATGGGTTTCAGACTTCGTTGGCTAATAGCCACTAGGTGGCCTCTTAATTGTTCTGAATTCAACTTGATAAGAGTATTACAGGATTCTTAGCTTCTGCATTGCTGGTGCATGTTTTAGGCTATGTCCAAAGAGTGAAATTGAGTGAAGTGCCATTTCTTTTGGATAAATAGAATCTGTTTTATTGGGGTGGGGGTGGAGGTTGCAAAAAAATAATAATTCTACAAACAGCATCTTTCTCACACACAAACACACATTGGATTTATTAATGGAGATGAGGAGGGCAACTGTTTTGCTTTCTAGTGACGACATTTCTTTGTTGGTGAAAAGGGGTGTTCTGGAAGGAGATGAAGTATTCCTTACACCGGCGATGCTTCACCTGCTCAAACAGGAAATTAGATAGAAGCATGTCTGTGCTAAAAGAAAAATGTTCATCCCGACTTGCAAACTTCTATGTTTTCTCCCTTTTCTCTCTTGGCTTCTAAAGCTAGCACAAGCCCTACTGCAGGACTGGGCACTGCGGCCATTGTGGGCATCCTCATTGTGGTCTTTGTCCTCCTGCTGGTGGCTGTGGACGTCACCTGCTACTTCTTGAACAAGTGTGGCCTCCTGATGTGCATCGCAGTCAACCTGTGTGGCAAATCCGGTCCTGGGGCAAAAGGCAAGGACATGGAAGAGGGCAAGGCTGCCTTCTCGTGAGTAATTTTGTTTTCATTATACATACATATATATATAGTTGTATTTACATTGCACATTGCTCCAAGAAAGAAATGGAATGGAAAATTGTCTGCACTTCCCATGATTAGAAAGACCATCCTTTCTCCCATTTACCCCTCCCATAGTTAGATGGTAAAAGCTGCAGGGGATCTTTCGCAGTCCTGCTAGCTGATATTTTTTAGACTGGGAGGTGCTAGGGATTGAACTAACCCTGCTTCCTTTCCTCCCTTACAGGAAAGATGAATCAAAAGAGCCCATTGTGGAAGTGCGGACAGAGGAGGAACGGACCCCGAACCACGACGGAGGGAAACACACGGAACCTAATGAAACCACGCCGCTAACGGAGCCAGAGTATGTTGTGAATGTAGAAGCCCCCTGGGTGTGTCCTTGAAGAGGAGAGGGGAGCAGAGCCCCTCTTTAGGCTCCATTGTGTGAAAGACAACTCTGTGTGTTTATGAGAGAGAGAGAGAGAGAGAGAGAGAGAGAGAGAGAGAGAGAACAGCTCATTCACATGGAGTGAGAACTAGGGGGAAGGAAGGCTGAGCAATCCTGAGGAATTGGTGGGCAGGAGTAATAATAATATGTTTCCAAAGAGAAGAAAAGCTCTCATGGCACCTTAAAAACTTTATTGTGGCAAAGCTTTTGTGGACTATCGAATTTCTTAAGCATTATTCTCAGTTGGCAGTTTTATATTGGGCTGTGGCGGTGGTGGAGGAATGGAATGTGAAAGTTGGGATTGAATGGGAATGAAATGCATGAAGTACAGCTGCTGACCATTCCCAAAGGAGGAGTCAAAAAGTTTGTTCAGGCAGATTTGCATCTTTGGAGGATGTGCTGCGAATCTCATTGTGACCCAGAAAGGGTCAAGCAGGGCTTTTTTTCCACCTGGAACTCACCGGAACTAAGTTCCGGTACCTCTTTAGGTTGGGACTGTTTGCCAGCAGGTGGCATGGCATCGTGACCATCGGCTTGCTGCAGTGATCATATTGGCGCTGCGATTGTGGCTGTGCGCCGGAGATGGAGGTTGGCAGCAGTGTCGCCAAAAGTGGCAGTTGGGGCGAAGAAGGGAAGGTGGGTGCTCCCCATACTTGCTCAGCAAGTTCCACCACCTCTTTTTCTAGGAAAAAAATGGCCCTGGGGTCAAGGCAGGTACTCTCTTCAAACAGCCTCCTCTGAAACCAAGGATGTGCCCCCTTATTCTTCAGGGTCTCCCTAATACGGTTAGCCTCACGTCCAAAGGCTCGGTGTTCTTCTTGCCTCCATGTCTTCCTTCTTCCTTCTCTCTCTTTGTTAAATAACCGCATGTTGTTTCTGCAGTTGCATTGACTCACCCAGCCGCCTGCTGCTTTCATGGCTTTCATTGTCTTGTTTCTCTTTTCTTTCCCCTCCTCCCCCCGCCTTTTACTTCCTTTCACCCCCACAGGCACCCTGCCGACACCACGGCAGCCACCGAGGATATGATGCCGTCTGTCACCACAGTCACCACTAACTCTGACACTATCACTGAAACCTTTGCCACCGCTCAGAATAGCCCCACCAGTGAGACTACCACCCTCACTTCCAGCATCACTCTGCCGGCCACGCCCATGCCCGACTCCAATTCCGTGGCTCCCAATCAGGGGACGCCTTCGAAAGCGGCCTCGGCATCTTCGCCCCCACCCACCTCCACGCCTAAAGTGGCTCCCCTGGTTGACCTCAGCGACACTCCTACTTCCGCCCCGGCCACTGGCAACTTGTCGTCTGGCGTCCTGACCAACCAAGGGGCAGTGCTGAGCCCTAGCTCCACCACAAAAGCGCCCGAGGCTCCCAAGGGCTCTGCTGCTGCCAGCAAATCCCCTGCCCCACAGCCCCCAAACCCCGCTAGCTCTCCAGCCTCTTCAGAGCCAAAGCAAGAGGCCTCCAGCGCCAAAAGTCCAGAAAAGGAAGCCACGCAGCCCAGCGCGGCGAAGACTCCGACAGAGGCGGCCAAGAATGCCGTGAACCAGAAAGGCGAGGCTGCCACGGGGGGCACCACAAATGCTACTCAGAATGAGGACTTTAAAATGGACGAAGGGACCTTCAAGACCCCAGACATTGATCTTGCCAAGGATGTTTTTGCCGCCTTGGGCACGGCGGCTCCTGCCACTGCACCTGCAGGCCAAGCAGCTTCCTCCGGCCCGGAGAGTTCTGCATCGGCAGCGCCTGCAAAGACAGAGTATGCCTCCCCGCTTTAAACCCTGCTTGTTCGTGTGCTGTGTCTCTTGTCCGTGCTGTGCCGTGCTTTTTGCTCCACTTCTGTGTGTGTGTTACGAATTAACCTGGCTCTTTCTCTAAGCAAGCTAACCTGTCTATTTAACCAACCAACCATAACAGAAAGTTTAGAATCCGGGTGTCTTTGGGCCTGTGATCAAGCAGTAGTCTCCAGATTCTGCTGTTATAGGCTCCCTTCCTCATCCTCCTAAGTTATCTCAACAGCTCCATCGGATTCCAGCTTAGGGGATTCAGTTGGAAGGCACCCAGGATGGAGTCACCTTTAGCTTCTAAGAAGCAAATTGTTTGCTACAACTTGTCACAGGATAATAATTTTGCATCTACAAATAAGGGATGGACGTGAGGGTAGTCCTTTTTTTTTGCAAGGTTACAGCTGTAAGGCCTTAACATTTGGATATTTAGAAGAGATGACTTTCCTCTAAGTGGGAGATTCTGTCACAGGGGTGGGTAACCTGTGGCCCTCCAGATGTTGTTGGACTCTTTAACTCCCATCAGCTGCACCTAGTATAGCCAATGGAGCTGTACCCTAACAAAATCTGGAGAGCCATGGGTTCCCACATCTCTGTCAACTGGGTATGTGTTAAGCTTTCTTCCGCCTTTTCCCTGGAGCAAAGTAGCCAGCATGATTGAACCAGGCAACGCTAGAGGATAATACCGATAATGGAGAGGATTGCTTGGGCCCCGGTTTTAAGGTGGAGAAGTTCCTGTACAACATGCCAATGTGGCTGAATTCCTCACTTGGTTCTAGTTGCAGCAGAGGGGTAAAACACGGTTCACATGGAGGAGTGAAAAAGGACCAGTGGTGGGTAGGGATGAACTGGTCTTCAGAACCCTTCCAGTTTCATTTTGAGGCCTTAGGAAACCTTAAATCACATATTCAATTAACCATGAGAAGCACAGTTCCCAAAATTTCAGAAACTGAAATGGCAGCCTTATTTCTATCAAAAAACCATTTTTAGGACGAAACCCAGGCCATGAGTAGGAGTCACCAAGGGCTTGCCATGTGTCTCTGAAGGTATCTCTGCTGTTGGGGATTGTGTTGAGAACATTCTAATTTTATTGTTAATCATATTTTAGTATTGTTGGACATTTATGCATTTCTTAAATGGTTGAGAATATTATTTTTGTCATCACACAAATAGTAAAGGGGGTAAGAAGTTTAAAACTTCCAAAAGAAGCAATTTGTGACATTTCAATCCATGTGTTAGTATATATAGTTAGCTTAAAAATGCAAACCAAAGGACGTTTCTCCTTCATCCCAAGACTTGCTAGGTGGTTGTGTTTTGCAGTCAACTGGCTGAGGCAAAGAAATTTATTTTTTTTGGGGGGGGGGGAGATCGCTTGCATCCTGCTTTTTTTCGCACTCTTGAGAAGCATAAACTCTAGCATGGAGGGCTTCTCCTTTCTCAGGCACCAAGTTTTGTTGAAAGGGCAGCTACCAGCCTTCGTTTAATCCACAATATTTGGTGACTTTCCCAACAGGAAAACCCCCGTAGATGAAAAGTCTGCAATTCAAGCCACAGAAGCCAAGACAGCCCCCGCAGCAGAAGTCAAGACGGTACCCAATGAAGCCACACAAACAAATGAAAACGAGAGCAAAGCATGATGGGCAACTGAGCCGAAACAAAACAAAACAAAAAAATTTAAAAAATTGACAGAACAAACAACTTCACCTGAGCATTTAAAACACACAACACACATCTCATCCCTCTAATGTCTTTGCCTTTTTTAAAAAGAAAACAGACAAAAAAAATGCATACAATGGGGGAATTGTGGTGGGTTCTTTTTTTTTTTTTAGGTTTGTAGGAAGAATTTTATTTTATGTGCACTTGCTTTTAAGAAACGAAATGTTTTACTTCTTTGTCTTCTACAAGGATAAGCCCATAACCCCACTAGGATACCAGGGCCCTTGCGAAATATCCATGCAGAGTTAACAAAACAAAAAACCCAACTGCAGCATGTTTAGGAGATTCAGAACAGAATTAGGAAGCCAGACTTGGCTCTGCCAGGCTGAGCAGACTGGGGTGGCCAGTCGCAGATCGTTTATTTTTATACTTTTCAGCCGAGTTGAGAAAAACCTGTAAACTCTTTGAAGTAAGTTATCTCCTCCCCATTTTATTTTTATTTGGTTCACTTTGAATTCGTCCTGTACGCAAAGTGTGTTTGCCCTTCCTGACTGAATTCTGTTCTCCTTTCTAAAGGGGCAATCCCCCATCAGTGTCTGTTGCGCAGAGCCCTCTGGAACAAACGGGAAGTGTGCAGGGTACCCGTGGATGTTCATTTAAATAGGGCTTGCGTGGAAGACGTTTTTGGCCGATTGCGCCCCCTTTTGGTACAGGTGATAATTCCAACATGTTTCATTTTAGGAAGAATGCCTTTGGGCAGTTTTGGAGTTTATCTTTCAAAGTGCAGTATTCCTTGTTTTGTTTTTTTAATTTGGTTTTGCCAACTTTATTTTCTTCCAGTGTTTACAGTCGACAAAACGTTTTTTAAAACTTTTGTTGTGTTTAAATGTCTATGTAAAATAGCTGCCTTTTTTTAAAGAGAGATTGCGAGAAAGAGAGAGAGAGACTGAGAGAGAGAGAGAGAAAGTAAAAACAGGCTATATAGATAGTAGGTTGATCAGCATGCTTGCTTTGCAAAGGGAGACATTTTGAAATAATGGATGTTTACAGTAGGTGTTTCCCCTTTTGTCTTTTCTTTCTTTTTTAATTATTATCATTTTTTTATTTCTTACTGGAGTAAGAAAAATAAGCAAACCCTTACCCTTTTCCTCCGTTTTATACAAATGGGCCACGTAAAGTCCAATCAGTGTCCTGCTTCAGGGCACCCTACTGATGAGCATGAGTTTAACTTTAAGTGTGTGAATAGGGGAGTGAAGTTCTGAAAAGCATCAGCACAATATCTGCAATTTAGGACACTGGGAAAGGTGGCTTTGTTGGTGCACGGTCCAAGTATAGCTGGTTAGGGTGTAAGAAGTGTAAGTCATTCCATCTTCAGGAATGAATATCTTGTGCTGCAAACCTGAGTCTCAAAAATGCTTCCTCTCAAACGAATAGGTTAGAATTTGCTTTTGATGGAAATCATATTTCCAAGGTGTTTTTCGGACCAGGCTGCTGGGCCACGATGGTTCAGCTCCAGGCAGCTCCAAATCTCTCGCTAGGATCAAATCTCAAGGTCAGAATGGTTCCCCATTTGCTTTGATTGGCTGAAGATTTGATAGGTTCATGGCTCCCCCTCTGCTTTGATTGGCTTAGTCCAATTTGACAGGGTCCACCCCAATTCTTGTCCATGGAATATGAGACCTTTAATGTCCAAAGCTTCATTGCATTACACATGTGTCCAAAGGCTTAAATGTGTAGTGCAAGATTGGAGGATCTATTATGTGCAAAGCTGTTCGCTTTTGAACACGTTACCCCTTTGAGAGAAAAGTCACTGGCTTGAACTTAAGCACTTGCTCAGTGGTGGTGTGGAGTCAGGGTCAAAACTGAATACAGGAAGTAAGTTATTTTTTCTTTTTCTTATTCTAAGGCATTATCTCCCCTTTCCTCTCCAGGAATCCCCCCCTAAGGTTAGTTAAGCCAAAGGGGAGGTTGTATAGTTAAGGGCGGGTCTCAGAAGGTAAGTTTTAAAAATTACCCACTCTCCCTCCTTATTTAAGATATATTGCTGCAGATATGGCTTCCTTTCAGCCTACACAATGTTTAAAATGTAGTGAAGCTCACCACTTAAGGGAGTTTGGCATAATTTTGGAGAGGAGGCAAGGTGGAGGTAATCTACTAAGTACCATTGCTGTGCAATCCTGATTCAAAAAGCCCATTGAAAGGAATTCAGTTTCCATAATCACACCCTGATCCAACACTTCATATGGCTCTGATGCACTCAAAAAACTCCATAAAAGCGAAGGGTATCCCATTCAGTTCAGCTGAATGCAACAGAGGGTGTACCCTTGAGAGCTTTCGAAGATAATGAAATGATCAGGATCCTGGTCTCTACACATGCAACAAAATATATGGATGGAGGCAGTCTTTTATCCATTTCTGGCAAAAGTCACCAATGGTCTGCTGGAAAAATAGGACCCCCCCCCATCCTCCAGTTGCTGATTCTACAAAGTTGTTAGGAAATATCCAAGGGTTTTTGTTGTTATTTTTAAGAGAGAGAGAGAGAAAATGCATCAAATAATCTGATCTGGGAGGTTTGATCTGATATTTGATTTCTGAAGCACTTAACGATCTTCTTAACTTTTCTTACCTGAATATTCATGGTCAGCATTGTTGCCCCATTGCTCACATACCACGGTATGAAACTTGGGTCCCTCCTGTTCTATTCAGGATCACACCCAGAATTTACAGAGTTCATGCAGTGGTCTTGTGCTTAAAGTTGTGACTTCACTGCTTTTAAAAATAAATAAATGTACAAACAGGGATGTGGGTAAAAGGATGTAGAGGTGAAGGAGACCAGCCCTTTGTATAGAACCATCTTTTTTTCCATTTTTTAAAAAAGAATTTCATTAGATCTGCAAGCTTGTGCACTGTGGGTGCGTGAATATCTTAGTGTGAAATGTGTTTTTTGTCATAGTATCAAAAAATTTAAAATCGGAAAGAAAGAAAACCTTCCACATCGTTTGGGTGTGGAAGGTGTAGCGGGAATAGTGCGGGGTGATCGAGAAAAAATCCAAATGATGAAACCCCAATTTCAGGATACATAAAACGAAGAGAATACAACTGTTCTGGACTGAAGAAAAGTAGCCTTGAAATCAAGATTTCCACAACCTAGTTCCCTCCAGATATTTTTGGGCTACAATTCCCATCATCCTTGTATGGGGCTGATGGGAATAAAGAGCCCAAACCTTTTGGAGGCCACCGGGCTGGGAAAGGTTGCTTTAAATATATATATATCTATAACCTGCAAAATTGAATGTGATCTATAGCATTCCTTTGCGCTAAGGTCAATGGGGGGGGCAAAGGAAGGGAGGGAGGAGGTGGCAGTGGGGGGAGACTGCAGTCCGGCCTAAGCAAAATGAAGCCACGCCTTTTGATATAATAATCTCATGTGCGCAGTCCGTCAATGTGGCATCTCTCAGTTATCATTCCCAACTGTGAAAAACCAAGAGTCTTTGTCATTTTGCTAAATGTGGGGGCAGGGTGGGGGCTGCTTTCTTGTTGTTTTTGTTTTTTCTCTTCAGCTCATGGGGGTGGAAATGGAGGCTGCCTTTATATCGATGTGCGCGCACCCAGCGCCTGTGGCCTCCGAGCCTCTGCTGTGTGCCTGGGTGGGGGACTTGTTTATAAAGGTATAAAGTGGGGAGGGGAACTCTAGCCCTTCGAGGAATTTATTTTGTTAAAGGGTGTAAATATACTACCCCCCCCCCATAATGTTCTCACATGGACTTTTTTTCCTCCCCAGAGGGAAATGAATGGGCAGGGATTTATTGTTCGGAAGATAGCAAGAATGGCGTTCCTTAGTCCCTGAAGGTCGGCCGTTGTGAGGGCCTGCAAAATACTGTCGCCAACCAACTCTTGCCTCATACCTCATATGTTATATTTCCCACTAAGCGACGAGTAGCTAACGGGAGGCTTATGCTACCATAATCTGCCAATAGCCTCTCCCAGTGGGGCCCACACAGGCAAAGTGTGCCGTATGATCCTGTGGGAACATAAATCTTTCAAAGCTTGGCTAGGGTAGCCTTGCTGTGGGCGAGCATTTTTCAAGCCTGGCTGCCATCTTGAGGCCTGAGCTGAAGCCCAGTTGACATCCCTGGAAAGATTCCTGTGGCTTTCAAAGGGCTTTGATGTCAGCTGAGCCTTCCTGAGCAAGAGCAAAGCCTCACAAATTCCCTCACGAACCGACCAAGATGGCCGCCATTTTTGCCCTCTTTCCCCTCACCAGGCAGGCATTTCTCAGCATGGTTGCCATGGCGGCCGGAGACCACGGCTGCTTCATTAAGAGCTCTTTGGCAGGGGAGCGTTTCCACTTTGCATCGGCAGCCCTCCTTCCTGTCCCAGAGCTCTCGGTGAAGCAGACTTTTATGTCTTGGTGAGGGGAATGGCATTCAATATCTCTCTGCCTATTCCCTCTTGCCAATATGTTGTTCGTTCCTCCTTTGGCAGCGAAAGAGTTTTGTTTTAAATTTAGAAGCAACATTCTCTCTTATGAATTTTTAAAGGTGTCTTCACATTAATTTTATTTTTATACCTGTTTATTTTATTTTTCGAGCAGACACAGACCTTTGAATAGGGACCAACAATACACTGTTTACGATGTGCATATTTATATATGTATGCGTCATACATATATATCTATATAACCACCCAGCTTCTCGTAGTACGGTAAACATGTATTTCATGCAATGTATTAGGAAAAAATAGCACATTTTCTTGCTTGAGTTTTACCATGGAGTCTTTTTTTTAAACAACAACAACTGTGTGGGTTTTATTTTATTTCTCCCCCTTTTTCTGTGGATGTCTTCAGACCCCTGGGGGTTCACTTAGGCAATGGTGATAGTGGTTCTCAGTCCTCCATTCACATCCCTACCCAGCATTCCCTGTTTTAGGGGCCTTCTCTCTTGTTATAAAAAACAAAACAAAAGACAAAAAACTTTTTACCGAGTGAAACATGGAATACCACCTTTATTTCCATTCTCACCAATGTAAATACTGATACTAACGGAGAATTTTGACTTTGCATTCTGTCAGAATACTTGTGTTCAAATAAAAATTACCAAAAAAAAAGTTTTTACATTGTCTTAGCCCTCTGTTGTGTTTATATCAGCGGCGGCTTTGTGAAGCTCGTAAGCAGGATTTTTGCATTTTACGGGCAAATGATAGCTGGAAATATTGTAGGTATGCAGATAGTCTCAGGTTCGATCCCTAGCCATCTCTCCATCCGCCTCCCATAGCCAGAATAGAGTTAAGATATTGCTGGATTACACCTCCAATCCTTCCACATCTCTAGTATAGGTTCCATGGCGCTTTGATGCTTTCCAAAGTATGTTTTCCAATTGATTGGCCAGGTGGTGCGGAAGCAGGATTTCTTTTCTGACAGGCTCCTTTTCCTTATTAAGAGAGTCATCTTGATTTTCTTGACAGTGGTTTTTGATGGTCTCTAGACACATAGGCTGAGATGGGAAGGAAAAGCACCGGTGATTCACACATCCATCTTCCTCACATCACTTAATAATTACAGCTGAATGTTGGAAACCAACAATGTTTGGGGGGTGGTGGTTACGTTTGGACTGGGATAAGGAAGTCCTGTTGGTGATTGCTTGCTAACACGGACAGTCTGTGAGGGAAATCATCATTTAGATTGTGAAAGCTATAGGAAGAAGAATCCTCATGAAGTTGCCTTATAGAATCAGCCCATTGAGAGTAGTGAGAACTCTCCTTTTCTCCAACAAATTTCTGTTGCCCATTAGTTTTAAGGCAAACCGAACAATGGTTTAATCGTGTGTTTGCAGGATCACTTCCAGCTACATCTCAGCACTCATGGGATGTTTGGTTAGACAGAAATCATTGGGGAGGGGCAGCGTCAAACTTTCCTGAAGCAAAACATTCACATCAAGTGGCTTCTCTGAATTCCTTGCATTTAAGCCTAACCTGAGTTCAATCAGATCATGGGTCTGTAGCATTGCAAGGCTTGTTTGTTTTTAATCAGAACTTAACATCCTCACATGGAAAGACACACACTCTCTGGGGATATTAAGTTTCTAATCTAAGTTGGCTTCATCGAGCACATTAATCAAAGCCCTTTTTGACAAGCTCAATTATGGTGCACTTTTCATAAGCAAATCCTGGAGGTGAGAGACTCCCCCAGCTGCTGTTCATTTTCAGCTCTTCAGAGGGGAGGTGAAGACGGCCCACCAGAAAGCAAATTGAATGCTTAAAAATTGACAAAAGGATGCCTTTGGTTCATCAGGTGTCACCATCGACAGCTGTACTTACACCAGCCCTTGATAGTCCATTACTGAGGTGTAACCTGGCAGCTCTGAAAAAAACGTTTACAGCAGTATGTATTGTATGGGCCTGCAGAAATGGCATGTGTCCTATGCTACCAACTCTTCAGAACTGCAATAATAGCCATGGTGAGTCAGACTTAAGGTCATTCTGACCTGGCTTCTGCTTTGGAGATGAATCTTGTAAACATGGCCTATTTATTTGTCCCTTGGATTCAGACCTATGAATCTGGCAGTTCCGTCTTGGAACTAATAGACCCATGGAGTGGAGCCAGTCTAAATTGCAGAGGTCATCAGTAAGCACTGGCAACCAAATTATGAAGAGAGGAGAGTGGTCTCACCAACTTTTCACTGAAGAACTAACTTTTGGGCTGCCCCAGATTATACATGCATATGTCTAGAAGGCTCCCTATAAACTGCTAGTCTAATTAAGCAATAAGCCACCATGACTGATGAATTCTAAAACCTGGCCCATGGACCACTGCCTCCTCCAGCCTAGATAACCTTTTAACTATAGCTCTGTGGTTTTTCTGTTATGTTCTACTCCATAAATAACATGCTCTCCCTCTTCAGTCCAGGCATAGCAAAATATGTCAAGAGTGGGCAAAACTTCAGGATCTCTTAAGTTGACTATTAACTACATTTGAGGCAAACCAATTGATATATAGAAGTTGTTGCCTCTCAGGACTTCCCAGCTCCACCCAGATGTGGCAAGATATGATTACTGGGTGTTTATATTTGCAAGATTTCACACAGTCTCCTGGGCTGTGTACATGTGTAGCCTCTGAATTGTCTTTCCAGTGTCCTTTTGTACATAGTGGTGTGCAGTTGTACACATCTTTGTGCAAGAGCATCTAAAGCAGCAGCTATCTGTTTTGCCTGCACCCATTGGTGGGCATGTTTTCAAACAAGTATGCAACAGTGCTCTATATTCCCCCCATCCCGTTAGTACATCCTCAGACTTTTTAAAAAAGGCAGTCTCAAAAAGAGAGGTTTTTGTTTTGGGTTGGCCCTTATCTCGAGGGTGGTTCCTTTGCACTTCTCAAAGTGTGGTTTTTGCTGTCCTCCAGTAGGAAGGCTGCAGAAGCTCTCCAGAGAACTGTCAAATTTCTTTACAGAAGCCAGTACAGAAATAATTTTAACAAAGCCACACAAGCACCATAAATAATTTTTCCTATGCACTCTGACACCCCGTGTTGTTCTAGGCAACTGCACCCAACCCGCTGCTCTTCAGTGAACATCAAAATGAACTGTGAGAGTGACTCCCGCCTCCTCCTAAAGATTAATGCAAGCGCCTGGAAGATGTTGACCTAAATTTATGGTGTTGTAGATCAAATTCTAGTGTACCGACATAGGTTTGGCATCTCTAGAACTGGGCTGATCTCTGTGACAAAACAGGCTGAAAAACACCATATTGGATTTGAGTGTTTTTCTTTAGATACTCATCAATCTCCAGTTCCCTTTTCGGATGTTCAGGCTTCTAAAGCCATCACTCAGTGCCAAGAATTTCTCTTTATGCTGCAGAATTGCTTGGAGAGTATGTAGGTAGACAACTGGTACGCTGCTGGAATCGACTTGCGTGCTCTGCTCAACGTTTTCCACCAAAGACACATTCTGCAAACAAGCAAACAAACTTCTGTAGGTGATAGCAGCAGGGTGTGACATGGTGGCAAGCTCATGAAAGCGGTGGAATGTGAGGGCCCTAAAAATTCAGTATCTGCTCATAGATCATGAGAACCCTACTGCTGTGGCCCTTGACAATTTGCTGTTTGTAAATGTGTGCTAAGACTTCTGTACACAAGCGAAAGCTCTGGATTAGTTTCCCTGACTGCTTCTCCCATGTTTAATCTGCTCTTTCCCTGGTGATTCTGCATGGGAGCCTGCACCATGATTAGAAATGGAGATGAGATCAGTTGCTCAGCGCTACCCTGGGCTCCACAGCTCATCCAGCAACCTGTCAGACTCTTATCTTCCACAGCTGGATGAGCTCTTAATAAGTTTCAGAGGTGATTGGCAGCCCTAATTAAAAACAAAAAGTTGTGATTGTAGCCAGGAACTGGGAGGCCTGTTGAAATGGCAGGTGGTAGGCTGGATAGATGAGAAAGAGGCGCTCTCTGTTTTTAAGGACTCCAGAGGAGAATGATAGTTTTCAGGTTCTGCCATCTCCTTAAACCATCTTTGATAAGAGAGGGTTGAAAGGCAGCCCAGCGAGCCTAAGGCTGCCCTGTTCCAGTTGCAAGACTGCAGTGGTGATCAAAACTTGGAGGGAGCTGACTTCCAGCAGGAGCTAGCCAGCAAAGAAGTGGGTACAAGTGGCAGCATCAGAGTTTGCAGGATCAGGGAGAGGCCCCAAGGTGGCTGCTTCAGCAAGGATCAGAGACCAGTTTGAAATCTTAAGTGGCAGCACTCAACCTCTGAATGTCCAAAGCCTGTCACTCAAGAGAGAACTGAAATAAAGTTAAATAGGCAGTGCTGCCCTGGCTAAGAGATGTGCATTTGAGCATCATTGGGTAGCATCAAAGTGCAGCTTTTGACTTGGGGAGAACTCAAGCTCACCCACACCTACAGAAGGCCACTTCTGCCTTGCAGCTGCTCTCCATAAAGTACCCGGGCATCCCTTCCTGTGCCCTTGCCAATGGGTGCCCATGTCCCTATCCAGCTGAGACATGAATTTTCAGCTCAGAGTTGCAGCACACCTCCGGGAGAATTAAACACATATAAGACACTTGGCAATCAGGCAACAGCCCAGAGCTTGGAATCCGAAGATTTTTGACAAAAATAGAGACACTTTAAAGCAGGTTGTTAAAAAATAAAAAGATTTACAATATAGGCATTGGCCTTGTATGCCCCTTCTGGCAACTCCTGCAGCAAAGCTGGTGCCAGACATATTGCTCTGCTTTCCTTTGGACCACGTCAGCAAGACCAAGAGGGGGGTATTGACATCTGGCCACCCCAGGACCTCCATACACACTGCCTGGGACTGTGCCCCAGGGAGGTCACTTTGGTGCTGGCAAAACAGTGGTTTGACTTTACTCCTGGAGGTGCACTCCATTGTCTCTTGAGACATTACGGATAACAACAACAATAACAACAAAACGTAACCTTGGAGTTAAATATAAGAAGTGTAGAAGCAGGAAGATCCTCATGAGAGCCAGTGTGGTGGAGTGGTTAAGAGTGGTTAAGAGCGGTAGACTCGTAATCTGGGGAACCGGGTTCGCGTCCCCGCTCCTCCACATGCAGCTGCTGGGTGACCTTGGGCTAGTCACACTTCTTTGAAGTCTCTCAGCCCCACTCACCTCACAGAGTGTTTGTTGTGGGGGAGGAAGGGAAATGAGAATGTTAGCTGCTTTGAGACTCCTTCGGGTAGTGATAAAGCGGGATATCAAATCTAAACTCTTCTCTTCTTCTCTTCATTCCAAATATGGCAGGGGGAAAATGGTAGGTGCTAGACAGACATGTATGAGGCTATGTCAGATGAGAGAGGAATGTTGAAAGAAAAAATAAGCAATACAAGCAAGGAGCAGTGTAGCTAAGTTGCTTGAGGTCTAGAGAGACAGAAGGATAGAAACAGTAAAAAGAAAAATCTGGGTTGAGATATTACTTCTACTGTAAAGTAGTGGGAGAGAGACACTTTTTCACAGGGAAATGTTTGTGAATTGTGCTTTGGCAGTTTGTGATGGGAAGTGGAGAGGACCATGCAGCTCCTTGAAACCTCTGTTGATTGGAGGCTTCCTAAGACAGGGGCTCTGGAGGAGAAACACAAGGCTGTGTGTTCCCTTAGCTCTCC